AGGCTCGAAGAGCCTTTCTGGAGGAGTTCGGGGCCGAGCCCGAGCTGGCCGTGTCGGCACCGGGCCGCGTCAACCTCATCGGGGAGCACACGGACTACAACCAGGGCCTGGTGCTGCCCATGGTGAGGGGCTGGGCGGGAGGCGCCATCTCCCCGCGTGCACTTTTGGGCGGGCCGCTCCGAACTTTTACCCTCGCCGGGCTTGGGGGCGAGCACGTGGGAGAGACCCTAGGGCTGGGCATTTCCCACGTTGGAAGGGAGGACTCCGGGAATCCGCGAGGAAGTAGGCTGTGGACCCCTGAACCTCGCCATCGCCCTGCGAGTCACCTCAGATTGTGGAGGAATGCGGAAGGGGGCCCAAACGTAGACCGGGGCGAAGTAGCCCTAAGCCTCCTGGTCCAGCCCTTTTAAATTTCCAGAGGAGGGGATTGAGTCTCAGAGAGGGCTAGTGATCTGTTCAAGGTCACACAGCTGGTTCTCTGTGTGGCTCCCTCAGCCTGAGGCTCTTTCCATCCAACCTTGAAGCTTGGCTTGCGAGTGAATACGGTACCTCTGAGGTCACACCGTAATGAGAAGGCATCAGACGAGCTCCTTTGATTCTGTTTTCCTTCTGAGCCCTCTCTCCCCCTCGCCCCACAGTCGGGAGCTCGTGGTCAGGGCAGAGTCCAAATCTGCACTCCTGCTGCACTGGCCCTGCCCCTGAAGACCCGTGGGGGCAGGACCCAAAGCCCCTAAGGCCAGATGAGCCCTGAGGCTCTTCCCTGAGACACTCCCCATTTCCTGGAGGCTGCCTCCTTGTCTCTGAGGCCTGCCATCCTCAGAACCTTGGTATTGGAAGTTTTGCAGACTTTATGTTTCTCCTGCCAGGCTCTGGAGCTTGTGACCGTGCTGGTGGGCAGCCCCCGGGCGGATGGGCTTGTCTCCCTCCTTACCACCTCTGAGGATGCCGATGAGCCTCGGCGGTTGCAGTTTCCACTGCCCACAACCCAGCGGCCACTGGAACCAGGGACCCCCCACTGGGTCAACTATGTCAAGGGGGTGATTCAGCACTACCCAGGTATGGGGCCCAGGCCTGGGTCAAGTTCGCCCTAGTTCCAGGAGTACCAGGCTTTCTCAGCCACAAAGCTCATTAGCTCATCTGATCCACTGTAGGGTAGCCATGCAGGGTGGAGCATCCTTGTTCTACAGGTGAGAAAACTGATGCCCCAAGAGGTTCTAGAACCTTCCCTGGGTTGCCCATTACATGATTGGAGGAGCCAGGATTTGAGCCCCAGCCTGCTGGCCCCCAGAGCCCTAAACCGGGAGGACAGCTAGGAGACTGTGTCCCAGGAATCTTAGTAGGAGAATGGAGAGCGGTAGACCCCTTGACCTAGTAGGTTGGTGGCCTCTGACAATTGAAACACATCCTGTACAAGGAGCTGCCAGGAAGCTGTCTCCCTTCATAGCAGAACACATGCCCTTCCTGCGCTCATGCTCCCAGATGATCCATCTTACCATCATTCTTTCCCCTGCAGCGGCCCCCCTCCCTGGCTTCAGTGCAGTGGTGGTCAGCTCAGTGCCCCTGGGGGGTGGGCTGTCCAGCTCAGCATCCCTGGAAGTGGCCACGTATACCTTCCTGCAGCAGCTCTGCCCAGGTACCTCCTAGACCCCGGCCCCTAACCCAGCCCTCCTTCCCTGAGGTCTCTTTGTGATCAGAGCTTCCTCCCTCTACTGTGGCTTCCAGGGGTGGGTGGGGAATCTCCCTGGAGGGTCATTGGAGCTAATGCTGCTCCCACCAGCCTACCCCTAGTGCCCCCTCTTGGGCGCTAGCCTCCCACCTCACCCTGTGCTGCAGACTCGGGGGCAATAGCTGCCCGGGCCCAGGTGTGTCAGCGGGCCGAGCACAGCTTCGCAGGGGTGCCCTGTGGCATCATGGACCAGCTCATCGCACTGCTGGGGCAGAAAGGCCACGCGCTGCTCATTGACTGCAGGTCAGGGGTTCCCTTCGTACCCTCCCACCTCGGAATCAGGAGCTCCTGGTTGAAGCATGGCCCCTGCCTGGCGCAGCAAGCAGGTGCTTAGCCTTGTCATCTCCCCCATCTCCATCCCAGGTCCCTGGAGACAAGCCTGGTTCCGCTGTCGGACCCCAAGCTGGCTGTGCTCATCACCAACTCCAATGTCCGCCACTCACTGGGCTCCAGTGAATACCCACTGCGGCGACGCCAGTGTGAGGAAGTGGCCCGGGCGCTGGGCAAGGAGAGCCTTCGGGAGGTGCAGCTGGAGGAGCTGGAGGGTGAGAGCTGGCTGAGTGCGTGCTGTCCAGGAGATGGCTGGGCACCCCATGGGGGCTGCCAGGGCCTTGGTGTGGCTTCAACCCTGCTGTACACTCCTCACCTCCAGGGACCTCTGCCAGGCTTTGCCTGCTCCCCCTGACTCTGCTACTCCAGAACTGCTTGAAGTCTCAATATCGCTTTTTCTAATATGAGAATTAAGTTTCCACCGTGGACAATCTAGAAAAGTACAAAAAGGAAAATAACAAACTCTAAGAGCACTCCCCAGAGGTAGCCACTGCCAGCAATGTAGCTTATTTCCTTCCATGTTTTTCTACGTCTGTGTTTTCAAAGCTGAGTATATACAGTTTTGTCACCTGCCCTTTTCTTAACATTATCTCAGAACCTTTCCTGTGCCATGTCATTATGCCTTTCCTATGCCTGTCATCAGCATGACTTTTTTTTTAAGCAGCAAAAATTAATTTTTTCACAGTTCTGGAGTCTGACTTCTTAAAGCTACGTAGCATTTCAGCAAACACATGCACTGTGATTTACTTAACCATTTTTGATAATCACACCTAACACTGTGATGAATTTTTTTGTTTTCTCTCTTTTCTTATTGTGATGGGTGTTTTTATACATGTCTTTCTCTGCATTTTCTTAGGATTAGGTTCTTAGGAGTAGAAGCACAGAGTTAAAAGATAACATGTATTTTGAAGTATCTTGATACATATGGCCTGGAAGGTAGTTTAACAGTTTAAAGGTCATATAAATATCAACTCATTTAATTCTCTTACAACTCTGTAGAGCAGATATTATTACTATTCCCATTTTCTTGATGGGGAATGTCCAGTAAGTGGCAGTGCTGAGACTTGAACACAGGCAGAGGAGTACTCTTAACTGCGGGGCTGCGCTGCTGGAGCCGTGCCCTCCCGGGCAGTGTGCAGGTGCCCATTTCAGGGACTGTCTTGTCCTTTTTGGTAAACCATCACCTTCAGACCTGGGCTGAGCACTTTTGCTGTCCCTCCTCCCCACCTCAGTCCTTCTGTCCCACTCCTGGGGGCCTCCCTGTGCCTCAGGAACTCTTGACTTCTAGTCCTGCTCTAACCACCCCCACCCACTCTCCCGCACTTTCCTTCCTGTTCTCTGCCTGGCTCCTCCCCTTCTGCTTTGAAACAGGCCTGGTTTTCTTACCTCCTAAAATGGAGCCTCCTTCCCATTGCCAACCCTCTTGGAATAATCCCTAATGCTCATGGCTCCCAGTTTCTCATCTCTACTCATTTCTTTTTTTTTTAATCGCAATACTAGGAGTTGAACCCAGGACCTCATTCATGCTAAGCATCTGCTCTGCCACTCAGCTATACCCTCCCCCTACTCATTTCTTAACCCTCTGAATCTGCCTGCCCATGTCCTATGACAGCTCTCCCAGGGGTTCCCCACGGAACCCTCCCCTCCCCCTTGTTCATCATCCTGTTTCTCGGCCCTTGCCTGCCCCAGGCTCTGTCCCCAGTGCTTAGTGCTGACCGCCACTACCCCACTGAGTTCTCAGACGGGAGCCTGTAGCCCCCCATTTCCTGGAGCCTTCTCCTGACCCCCGATGGACCTCGGCACCCTTCTTCCCCTTGTCTGTTACTTCCTCACCCTTGTCACTCCTGTTGAAACTTCAGAGTCACCTGAGTCCTCTGTTCCATTTCCTACCCTTGCCTCTGGCCTCTTTCCCCTCCTTTCATTCCTCCCCCATCAGGCCCCTCGTGGGCTCTGACTGTTTAGTAGCCGCCGGCTGGGCTCCTGGCACCCGCTTCTCCCAGCATGGCCTGCTGCTCGAGGCAGTCACTTGTCAGCTAGAGCTCAGCTCCGTCCCTCCCCTGCTCCCATACCTCTCTGGCACCCGGAATTAAGTTTCAAAGTCCCTGGGGCTCAGGGCTGTCGTTAGTGACTCAGCTTGCTCTTGCTCTGCCCTCTTCAGCGTTAGCCTGTGGGATAGCCCACTGGGTCCCTGGCATGCCCTGGACACACCTGGGCTGGAGCCCTGGCCCTCAGAGGCTCCACTGTTATTCCAGCATAAACCCCAGCAGAACTTTTCTACCCTCCTGTGCTGTCTTAGCCTCTTGAAGACAGCATTGTGTCCCACTCAGTGGATCTCCTGACCCCTTTTCCCCCTCAGCTGGCAGAGAGCTGATGAGCAAGGAGGCCTTCCGGCGGGCACGGCACGTGGTGGGTGAGATCCAGCGCACGGCCCAGGCAGCGGCCGCCCTGAGCCGTGGGGACTACAGAGCCTTCGGCCGCCTCATGGTGGAGAGTCACCACTCGCTCAGGTGAGACCCCCTCCTCCGGTGTGCCCAGCACAAGCTGTGTCCCCTGTGCTGGATGGGGCCTGTTCAAGGCCCCCAATTTCCTCTGCAGGGACGACTATGAGGTGAGCTGCTCTGAGCTGGATCAGCTGGTAGAGGCTGCGCTGTCTGCACCCGGGGTTTATGGCAGCCGCATGACGGGTGGTGGCTTCGGTGGCTGCACGGTGACCCTGCTGGAGGCCTCTGCTGCTTCCGCAGTGATGCGGCACATCCAGGTGGGCAGGTGCTGGAGGTGGGGGTTGTGGGGAAGAGATGGGTTCCTAGGACCCTGCTGTGCTTGGATCCCACCCCATCCCTCCCTCCTTCCCACAGGAGCAGTACAGTGGTACCGCCACCTTCTACCTCTCCCAGGCTGCTGATGGCGCCAAGGCTCTGCGCTTGTGAGGCCCTTGCCCAGGACAGCACACAGCAGGCTTGCCCTCCAGTCTGGGTGTTCAATAAACTTGTACCTCTGACTATGATACCTGCCTGCCTCTGGAGGTGGGTGTGTGCTGGCATCAGAAGTGGGTGTCAGAACTGCTCCTCTGCTCTGGGTGGGCCCCAGAAACATGGACAGGACAGAGACAATGGTAGCAAAATCTTTTATTAAGTGCAGAACGAAGCTGGGTCCTTGTCATGCTGGCTCCAGCTCTTTGGTTACAAACGGGCTTGGGTCTGGGGCAGGAGAGCAGTCAGAAGGGCCTTCCAGGACCTCTGCCCACTTCATGCCTCCCAGAGGACACGTACCCCTGCTCTGTGGCCAGAGGCACCAGCCCTGCAATCAGCATGTGGGTGGGCTGGGCCACCGGGGGCCCAAGGATGGTGTAGCTGAGGCAGTGCCAAGGAGAGAAGGGGGGCGGCAGGGACGGGGAGCTCAGGTCTGGAAGAACTGTTGGTCCACCTGGGTGCTGAGGGTTCCACTGGTGGTCAGTGTCCGGCTCACGAACTCCTGAGTCACATGGCGGGTGAGAGAGCCAGTTGCTTCTAGGTGCTGGGACCCCAGGGTCAGTCCGTCTGCAAGGGAAGAGGTGTTGAAGGACCCTTCCTGTTTCCCACCCCCTTCCTCAGTTAGCTCTGCTCCCCAGCACAGCCAGGAGCCCCACCCATGGCTCACCCAGCAGGAAGGGCTCGGCGGTGCTGGTGTGGGTGCTGGTGATGGTGCTGTACTCCCCTGGCAGCAGGTGCTGGAAGGGCCCCGAGTGGCTGCCCAGCTGCGGGCAGGGGCCTGGAGTGGGCAGAGGGGGCAGTCAGGATGGTGCCAGGAGAAGGTGTGGGTGGGGGTGAGGTGTGGGTGGGGGTGAGGTGGGGGTGAAGCAGCCTACCTCCATCCTGGGACTCGATGGTGATGATACCCTCACGCTCTGGCCCGAAGCCTTGGGTGGTCTTGGCCTGCACCTTGAACTTGTAGGGCACGTTCTCGCTGAGGCCCGGCACAGTCAGCCGGCTCTCGGGGCTGTCACCATCCACTAGGAACGTGGTGGCTGGCTCTGGGCAGGGAAGATGCCTTTAGCCTCTGTGGCTCCCTCTCCAACCCTTCCCTGGCCCCCTGACCCTGAGGCGGGCAGCACCTCCTCCGTGGGCCATCTCACAAGTCACCAGGTAGCCGAGGATATCCCCATCAGGTCTGCGAGGCCGCTCCCAGCTTAACTGCAGTGAGTCCGGGCTCAGGGCCGTGAACACCAGTGGGCCAGGGGCACTGGGCGTGCTCAGAGTGAAGGCAGAGCCTGGGGGCAGCAGAGGAAGAGTGTCAGTGGGTGGGCAGGGGGGATGGGGGCAACTGTCGGGGCAGAGGAGGCAGCTCACCTGGCAGGGGGCAGAGTGGACTCTGTGGGTGCACCTGTGACTCGATGGTGATGACACCCTCACGCTCTGGGCCCCAGCCTTCCTGGCTCTGGGCCCGCACGCGGAACACGTAGGAGTGGTTGGGCAGAAGGTCTTCCACCACCACTGCAGTCTGGCTGGGGCTGGGGATGCTGAGCCGATGCAGCTCACCTGGGGTGCGGGTGGAAGCAGACACCCAACAGCATTATTCCTGCCCCTAGCCTGTTTTCGCCCCTTCCCTAAGCTGCTGCCCAGACCTAGTCACCCCTCCCCTCCACGATTAGCTGTGGTTTGGGTACAGGTGGTATGGTATGGTTGGTCAGGATGTACGGTATACAAAGGATGAGTAGAACCCAAAATCCCAACTGTGTTTGGGTTCTTCATGGGCCCGGGTCGTGCTGCCACAAGTGTGTCTGTTCAAAGAAGTGCTGCTTCCTGAAAAGGCACCTCAGGCCAGCAGAGTTCCTGGGGCCCTCAGCCGACAAGGCCTTGTTAGGCGAAACCTAGCAGTGGGAATGATCTGGAGAGGCTCATGGAGATGGGCGAGGACTCAGAAGAGGGAAAGCAATGGAGGGCAGTCGGGGGCGTGGAAGGGAGGGAGAGGCCTTCAGAAAGCGGGGGCAGACATTAGAGTTCAAGGGACTTGGGTGGATTCCTGCCAGCCCGGTGCCCCTGGGTGTCAGCAGGGGGCCAGGCTGCACCCACAGTGCCCGACAGCAGCCGTGCCTCACCGCCGTTCAGCAGTTGGTACTCCACGCTGTAGCCCTGCAGCACCCGCTCGCACTGCGGCTCCTGCCAGCTCACTTTCAGAGACGTGGGTCCCAGAGCTGAGAACACCAGGCGGGTGGGTGTGTTGGGCACACCTGCAGCCAAGCGGGAGTCTGGTGACAGGAGACCACAGTCAGCCTGTGTCAGAGGTGTCTGGGCAGAAGTCCTGGTTCTACCCCTGACCTCCCTCAGCTATAGTATCTGCACTGACTGCTTGCTGGCCAGGTGGCCCACTCACCCTGCAACACCCTGTCCAGACCACCCAGCACCTCCCGAATGTCCTCAGAGTGGGTATGGGCCCTGCCTGTGCCAAAAGAGGGTGAGCCTGTGAGTCAGCTGGTCCCCCACCCTCCTCAGCTGGCCTCGCCCCTATCCTGCCCCAGCCCGGCACCCCTGGGATGAGGATGGAGGCTGCGTTAGGCACCAGCACTGATGTGGATGGAATGGAGGGTAAGGTGGCATGGGCAGTGGCTGCGGTGGGTGGATGGGTGACAGATGGAGCAGGACAGCTGTGGAAACAGGATGACCATCCCTGTACTACCTGGGGCCCAGGAGGGCGCTGCTGGCTGCCCAGCCAGGATTATAGAGTCTCGTGAGTCCCCAGAGCGAGGGAACCCCTTCATCCGAGCCCGACTCCGGGACCCCAGGGCCCAGGACAGCGGAAGCCTGCTCCTCCCGTCTTCCCAGATGGGAGGGAGGCCTAGGGCAGGACAAAATAAGAGTGAGGGGACGGGAAATGTGTGTGTGTTGGAGGATGGGTATTAGAGGGCTAGCAGGCCATATCCCGAGTCTCCAGGAGCTGGAAGAGAGGCCGGGTCAGCGGGAGAGGCTGGCTACGTGCAGGCACTCACTCTGGGAGGAGAGGGAGGTGAGAGTGGAATAGTCCCTGGGCAGCGTGGTCGAGTGCGAGTGTTCCGTGCGGGTCAGTGAGTGGTAGTCCCGAGTGAGGGTGGAGGATGTGCTCAGCACGCGGTGGGGCAGGTGCGGGCTCAGGTGGGTGCCGTAGGCAGCGTTGCTCACGGTCATCCTGTGCAGGGAGTTGGCGCTGCCCGGGAAGGCGAAGTCCATCCGCCCATTCACCAGGTGCTCTGCAGGGGAGAGCAGGGTCAGCTGGATCAGACCCCAAGTTCCTTGGGACAGGCTGCGGCCCTGGGAATTCCCAGGATTACCTACCCTCTGGGGCCCTTGGCATAAATACAACCAGCCTCCCTCAGCCCACCAGGAACAAAGGCCCATGTCCCTGGAGGAGTCCAAGGGCCCTCCTAGGCTTCCACAGCCCAGGTCCTCTGGCCTGGCAGGATGCTGCCACTGTGGACAGTCTGAGCGCTGCTAAGCCCCGCTGGGGGACTCACTGCCCCCGCAGTTAGCTCTGCCCTGGGGAGAGCCCAAATGCCTGCCCTGAGGTCCCTTGGCTCTGGGGTCTGCCCCCGGTTCATGGACAGCCTGGCCGCACAGGCTCCAGCTCGGGGCCCTGACGCAGCAAAGGAGTGAGCCTAGGCGGGTGCGGGTTGGGGCGTGCCGGTCACCTCCCTCCCCGCCAGCG